TCGAAAATTTTATTATTGTATGTAAAATCTGAAAACATAACTTTGCTAAGAATGCAATAGAGAATAAAATATGCTAAGATTAAAAAAAAAAATTTATTATTAAGCGATAAATATCCAAAAGCATTTTACTAATCTTTTAATATAAAGACTGCTCCATAATTTTTTGATCAAAAAATCTATCATTATACATAAATCAATAAGACTAGACATATGTTTGATTCTATTAGATGATCGACCACCCCAACAAAACGCCCAACCCTGACCTGGACTTCTAAATAGTTATTAGTAATAGTGCACGGCAAAATCAAACAAAAACTTGATTTTCAAGTTTTTGAATCTATCAATTTACATTGAAAACAAAATTTATTTTTAGTAAATATATAAATCTAACAAGCATCCGATCTTACTTTAGACTACATGGTAGCTTATCATGAAGTTTAAAGTCAGATTAAAGTAAAAACATATTTTGTAATTAAAGCACAATACTGTAAATCGATAGATTCAAAAACTTGAAAATCAAGTTATTGTTTGATTTTTGCCGTGTACTAATTAGTAAGAGAAATAAATGGTCTTTTATATTGTCAAGTCATTTACATGTACTACTGCTTTAAAATAGTCAAATAATGAAAGTCCCAATGTTTCCATTCAATTGTACGGCCTGAGTTTGGTTTAAATAAATTCGCAAGAATACCGTTATCAAGTGTTCACTTTCTTTAACAGGGAGGTTCGAGATTAAAAACATATAGTTATAAGGGTGATAATAATTACATTGTTTTACTCCGTTCCATTCTGCATTTAAAATGTGAATTTGTTCTATCATGGTCCTTTTCATGTTCTCTTCATAAATAACGAAGAAAAAAATTGTGGCTAATTCTGTCATATAATTTTTTTTTTTTTTTGATTCATGAAAGAATCCAGTTTTGTCTAGATTGATCCACCTGATCTCTTATCACCACTGCCTCCTGATAGCTTAGCATAGCCTTGCCGTTAACCTATATGTTTAAGTCGGATCAACAGTAAACCAATATTTAATCAATCATTTCTTGTTTAGTTTATTACCTTTGGAAAAACATGTATTAGAGGTCTTGTACAGATATAATTAATAACAGAAGAATTATGACGGAACAATATTAAAGTAACAAGTTCAAGTTCGAAGGAATAATCAAATACGCGTGATGAATTATTTAATCAATATTAAATGTTACGTAAATTTAAATTACAAATTAATAAGTGAAATATTTGATATCCTCAGATTCGATTAAAAAAATTGGGCCTTATATACATTTTAGCAGCATTCATTAACAGTTAAACTATTTTAACTTATATCATATCTCGGGATAATTTTTTGAATGATTCCACGTTAATACTGTATTTTCACTAATCGACGACGACTTTATCATAGTTTGACTATATTCATGGATAATTTCCAAACACAGACTTACTATATCTGATATTTAGACATTAATACAAATAATACACGATACAGTTAAACACAGGCAAGAAGGAGCCCTAATATTAGCTTCTGAATTTGATTATTCAAGGACGGAAGGAAGCTGAAAGCACGTACAAATGACATGTATTATGAAAATTTCGATCTGCTAGTAACGAAACGTTACGTATTTTCTTTACAACCTCTTTTTAGTGTTTGTAATCGACCTTTATTTATCGACTTAAGTCGATATTTAAAATTCGGCTTAGTTGGCTAAGTCAAGTCGATTAATATATATTTTTTTTTTGTCTTCGAAATTTATCGGAAATTTCATCAAATTTTTGTCGTGACCTTGCTCGTATTTTATTGAATATAATCTAGCTTAAAATGATTTGGTCGATTTTTTGGAAAATCGGCTGACTAAGCTGGTTTACATGGAATTTTCTTGGATACTACCTGGCCTTATGTTCCAAACCATGTGATCCACGTGGTTTCGATATGTACGGTAGCTCTCCCAATTGGGATATTAAGGTTAGTGTTAGTCACGTCAGGGAGGTTTATTGATTAATGTTTTTGTGGGTGATCTACAGGCGTTGGTTCCGATATGCAGCTGATATACTGTCTCTCAGTATGTTCCCGATATTCATTAATTTTACGTATTAGATTATTAATTGATAAACTTAGTATCAACTAGAAATATTTATCGTGTTGTATATCTTAGTCTTCAAAACAAATATATATATAGACTTCGTATTTGCACTAGTTTTGTCTTTAGACTTTGCTCTCATTAAATATATCATTAATATATATATTACCACGACTACTTGTATTTTCATATACATTTAGTTGTTGCCTCTTTTTCGATAATGTCTTATAAATCCTCTTTGATAAGCCGTTACCCAACACTTATATTATCTGCCAAACTCATTAACACTAGTTAAAATCAAAAATATTAGTATCTTATATATAACTTATATATGTAACTTAAAGCTAGGATATATTGGCTATCAAAAAATTATAAAACACAGGATAGCTTTGGTTACATACAGTAGTTACATATAAGTCACATATCAGATACTGATATTTTACTAATATGTTTGATTTTAATTAGTGTAAGTTATAATCTTCATACTATAATTCGCATTCTATTAAGTCGATAAAATCGATTACAAACACTACCTCTTTTCTAACCCTGATACAAAATTTCGTTATCGCTTTATTTTATAACTTACACTATTCTCTTTAGAATCATATGATACGTTTCTATCTAAAAATGGAACTTTTCGTAAGTTGATTGAAATTTATTTTAAATAAAAAAATTCACTTTAATAAATTTATTAATTCGAAAAGCAACGATGATTATTTATTTGAACATACCAGTATGTTCAATTGTTTTTTTTTGTTTTTTTTTTTTTATTTATTAAATTATTATACACCCAAGAATCCTAAATTATGTATATCAAAGATAATTCTAAAAAAAAAAAACTCTCATTACTCCAAATAATATAATATATATATATATATATATATATTTAAAATAATAAATAAATCTATTATTTATCTAAAGTTAAATTTTGTTTTTTCAAAATAGTCTGGTCTTTCGAGAAGTACAACTAAAACAGTACATATAATTGAATCGTCCCTACTATCGCCTCTACTATCGCCTCTACTATCGCCTTTACTATCGCCCCTACTATCACCGTAGGATTTAATATTTTTACTCCTCGAATTATCGCGGCTATCACCGTAACCGTAACCATCATCGTAAGAGTTATCATAACTGTCATAATTGTCATCATAGCTATCTCCATAATAATTTTTATCATTTTGATTAAATCGAGATTTCCAAGATTTACGTCCGTATAAATTATAGCTAAGTTTTCCATCATTGTATCTTCCGAACTATAAATAAATATATATCAGAAATATTAGTGATGAGGTTTAAGTAATATACTTGTAATTGTTATAATTATAAGAGAAAAATAGAAATTTACCACAGAGTCATAAAATCCAATAGATTCGCAAGTGATAACAACTAAGACTACATTTTGTAAATTTAATAAGATTATTAGAAATAATTTATAGAGAAAAAAGTAAGTTATTGTAAATAATCTTTGCTTACGATCAAACTTATTATTATTCCTATTCCTAGATTTATCATTTCTCCAATTATCGTTTGATTTGCTTTTTGATTTGCTTTTTGAAACAGAATTTTCTCTTTTAACAGGAGGTGTGGAAGGTTGAGTAGATGGAACAGGTGTGGAAGCTGTCGTATTAGCTTGTGGAACAGATGGAGAAGCCGTTGTATTAGTTTGTGCCGTTGTATTAGCTTGTGGATTAGGGGTAGCTGCTGCATTAAGTGATGGTGAACCAGTTGATGTAGCAACTGGTGGATCACTTGAACCAGTTGATTCAGCAGCTGGTGGATCACCTGAACTAGGTTGAGTTTCATTAATTTGTTGAGCGATAGCATCATTTTTTGTCCAATTAACTTCTAAAATACCAGAACTTCCAGGTGTCGCCTTTAAATCAAAGACGCCAGCTGCTGATACAAAAGAATTAATAAAGGCCAAGAGGCCAAGTGTTACAAAGAATAATTGTGAGAATTTCATTTTTTTGTTTATATACATATATGAAAGATACAAAATTTAATTTTTTTATTTTTATTTTTTTTTTGGAGTTAATGAGTGTTTTTTTTTTTTTTTAAGGATCGTGGGAAACAAAGATTCAATCTTTGAGATTTTTTTTACTTTGTTGAGGAAATTATTCATGAGCTTATAAATATTTTTACGAGTGAGTATTGAGTATAATCATCTGAAGATTATTACCTTTTCGATTACGTTTAAGGCCGAAAAGCGCACGTTTTTTTTTTTTTTGCATTTACTCCAAAAACAATTTCCTAAATTCGCTTCTAGATAAATTAAATGCAGGAGAAAACAATAATTTTTATTGGCTAACTATTATGTATTATGATTTACAATCATCAAAAAAAAAAAAAATATATAATATTTTTCTTTTGTCAGACAGTAATAGAACTGAATTAAGGTTATAGATTAGCTTTCATGTGGAAGTAAATTGTTACAATTAATGCGTGAAAGTGAATATCAAGTTTTGAACTTTCGATTTAAAATTTAAAAGGTAAAGTAAGAAAAACCAAATTTAGTTAAAAAATTAAAAATATTTCCATAAAAGGATTTGTATACCTTTAACCAAATTACGATTGGAAGTTTTTGATACAATTTATATTTACTCCTTAAAAGATAGTTTACCTTAAACCGGTTTCTAGATTTGTTAATTTTACAAAAATTTTTTTCGTTAGAAGTTTAAATGCAGTAATTTGTATATGTGTACTAATTTCTCCTGAGGTTTTATCTAAGAGACCACAAATCATTGCAGGAAAAAAATATGGATTTATTTTTTTAATCATTTCTAGTCGTATAATGGGCAGAGTTAACTTTTTTGTAATAACCGATTGTTAACGGATTAAACTCCGAATGAAAAAACTTTGATAAAAATAGGTGGATTTTAATGATTTTAATTAATTTAATTAAAGATGTTAATTTAAGCGAAACAAAATTTTTATTAATATTTACATAAACCACTTATCAAGTAAAATTCAATGAAAATAATTGTTTTTTTTTTAAAAAAAAAATATCGAAATCAGTTTTAAAAAAAAAATCATAATAATTCTTCATTGACTAATAACTAATTTACCCGATTTATCATTACATATTGTGTTAGGGATTATTGTCGAGCATGTTTTTAATGTATATACTGTATCTGGTATGTACGAACGTATGTACGTACGTACGTACGTACGTACATACATACGTATCAGTAAGTATATATTAGTATATAAATTATACTGTGCCTCAGTTTATAATAAGTTTATTGAGTTTATTATAACGATAAGCTTATGCTCATTATGCATAGTTATATCATTAGTACATACTGCCGAGTAAAGAAATAAGAATAGAAATTCCTTTAATTGTCTCCATCACACAATTCGAGTACAGTACCTCGATTGTTACCATAAAAAATGATTATCGGTTACATTCGGCCATCTAGAGAATGCCCGACCCTTTTTCGATGATTTAGGTTTTAAAGAATTCTAAAGCCAGAATTTTTCAATAACGATAACATTTTATCATCCGAAATTTCTTTCAGAAACTGCACACGGGGGTAACATGACATTACACATTTTGTCTCAAATTGTCATTTAAAAAATTTCGGTATTGTGAACATCAAAAAACCTAAAGTGGCTAAGTGCGGCTTACGTATACTTTTGTTTATTGATTACTTAAACAACGAAATATAACGATAATAAAATAACAATAATAAATAGAAAATAGTGATAGTTACACGAATATAAATAAATTGATTACTTTTATCTATTACTAAAAAGTATTAACTTCTTCCTCGAATTTTAAAATAAATTTTTATTTAGATTTAGGGAGTAATTAGTTAGATTCCGAAACAAGTTAATGTCTCAGGATACTAAAGTAATTTAATGAATTAATTATCATTACACTTTCAAACATAACAGCATAATCAAGATCAAATTCATATGCTTCCTATCAATAAATCGTCTTCTTATCTATAAACCGTCTTCTTATCAATGAATCGTCTTATTATCGATGAATCGTTCTTTAAGTAATTTACATGATTGACTCTAAATACAGAAATAGTTCCTGAAGTATTGTACTTTGTTAACCAGGACTTCCTTCATTTTTTCTATGTCCAAAAAATTTCAAGATTTTCTCAAAAACATTGTATTGCAGTATTGATAAACCTTGTGCAAATCAGTAAATCAGTTTTTATTTAATAAAGTTTTAAAATACAGTAAAATTTTATTAATACTGATTCGCATATGTACTTAACCATTGACTATTTTTGTTGTAGGAATACTACTAAGAAAAATGTTCATGTTCAAAAGAAAATGTGAAAAGTTAACAGTAATTAAACAGATTAACTAGTTTGCTAAAGGCCCTATGTCCAAGATTTCTAGCTTTTATACATGAATCCATTTTTATCGTTACCTACTATTTCTCTCTCATCAATATCTATTACTTCGATTTAAAAATCTTTAAAGGCATAAAAGTAAAAACCAATCCATCTAAACAGAACCAATCAATTAAACGTATTCATTTTATTGTCCCAATTTGATTTTTATAGCACCAAATTTTAAAAAACGTCAAAAATCATCTATTATTCTTTTGTTACCTATAAAAGTTTAAAAGAACTGAAAGGAAAAATATGTATATTTGTTCACCCATTTCCACTTTTACCTAAAGTAACAACTTGTTTTACATATTAAGTAAAAATCATGTGTTATCGTTATTGTTATCCAATTAACGTTAAATCAATAGTAATAAACTTTTATCACATGATTTTTTCAATACCTTTAACGCTAAATCTCTCCTGTCGAACTACTTCAGCGAAATTCGTATGAATCATTGGATGTGTGCGCAGCATTTGTATAAGATGCGTATGTACAGTACGTACAAGAATTTTGTAAGTAAAACTTATATTTATATCTCTTTGTTTTTATATCAATATGTTTTAATCTTGGATAGTTATCTAATATAAAGATTTTTAATACTTGTATACCATTCTTCTATTCTTATAGTAAAAAATTTCAATATCTCTAACCTTACAAATATGTTCGATATCGTCACTTTAGATACATTTTTTATTACCGATACTAGAACAGCTCTTTATTATTA